GGTGATGGCTTCAGAGCCCAGAGCATCTGAGTGCCAGACCCCTTCTGGGATGTTGCTTCAACAAAGTTGGAGAAGCCAGAAGTGGAAAATGTGAGCGAGTGGCTGCCTACATCATCCCATAGCTCTAGTGAGCAAACCCTATGACTCCTCTAGGGGAGGAAGGGAAGATGAGCAAAAGGCTCATTTCTCAAGCAGCATCCAGAGAGCAGCACCTAACCAGACCAAAAAGCAATAGGAGAGCTAAGTTGCTTTTCTTGCTCCTTCAGTATTACGCTTTTGAAAGGAAGGTTGGGGGGGGGAATATATATTGTATAAGGACAGAACACGTTTAATGGTTTTACGAAGGCAGCTGCTTAATCTTGGACTAAGAACCAAGTAAGGCTAAGTAATAAGGGTTATTAATAGCCGTAATTGCAGTTCATTAGTATATACCAAATCAAAACCAGTGACAAGAAGAAATGAACATTTAAAGACCTATTACTCCATACAAGATTAATAACTCGGTCTCTTAGTTAATGGGTTTATAATGATTTGATTGGGATAAAAGTTAAACTCAATCAAACAGGAATCTATAACGATGCTGAAGTTGGTTACTAGTTTCCAGTTCTGTACTGCTCAGAAGATCCAAACCCTAAGAAAGAAAGTTCGTGTATCCATGAACTCAGAAGTTTATATGTCCCCAAATCCTAAATTAATTGTTGGGGTGCCCTATCTCATGTATCTTTATGATCAGAAGATATTTGATCCCAATGGTAATGTTACTTACTCAAAATTAACATCTGTGCTAGACAGGATCCAGTGGCATCTCACAGAGGACACTGTCCCCTTTGCTTGAGTGTATGATTTGCTGTGGTCCTGATATATATTGGTGTGGGCACCCCACAATTACTATTTTTGTCAACATATTTTGACATATAGTGGTACCTCGGGTTACATACACTTCAGGTTACATAGGCTTCAGGTTACAGACTCCGCTAACCCAGAAATAGTACCTCGGGTTAAGAACTTTGCTTCAGGGTGAGCACAGAAATCATGCTCCAGCGGTGCAGCAGCAGCAGCAGCAGCAGGAGGAGGCCCCATTAGCTAAAGTGGTGCTTCAGGTTAAGAACAGTTTCAGGTTTAGAACGGACCTCCGGAACGAATTAAGTACTTAACCCAAGGTACCACTGTATCTGGTGTGCATAGATACACCTTGAGTGTGCCATGCATCCACAAGATTCAGCAAAACAACTCTCTAGTCATAAAGGCTGCCTTTGAATTATCACCAACTAATGATATGCCCAGGGATGCGGCTGGCGCTGTGGGTAAAACCTCAGCACCTAGGACTTGCCGATCGCATGGTCGGCGGTTCGAATCCCCGCGGCAGGTTGCGCTCCCGTCGTTCGGTCCCAGCGCCTGCCAACCTAGCAGTTCGAAAGCACCCCTGGGTGCAAGTAGATAAATAGGGACCGCTTACTGGCGGGAAGGTAAACGGCGTTCCGTGTGCTGCGCTGGCTCGCCAGATGCAGCTTGTCACGCTGGCCACGTGACCCGGAAGTGTCTGCGGACAGCGCTGGCCCCCGGCCTCTTGAGTGAGATGGGCGCACAACCCTAGAGTCTGGCAAGACTGGCCCAACGGGCAGGGGTACCTTTACCTTTAATGATATGCCCACTGCTATGAAGCAAAAGGTAAATATGAAAGTCTCTCTCATAGAGCCCAGGAGAATGAAGTGTGTCACTGAACAAAGTGTAATACAAAGATGAGCCTGCTGTATCAGGCCATTGGTCCATCCAGTCCAGCATCCTGGTGGCCAACCAGATGCCCATGGGAAGCCTGGAAGCTGGACATTAGTGCAACATCACTCTGCCCACCTCTGATTTCCAGCAATTGGTATTCAGAGAGATAATGCTTCTGGCAGTGGATGCAGAATATAGCCATCAAGGCTCATAGCTGTTGTATAGTTCTTATCACCTTTTTCTTCCTAAAATTCCTGTGAAGTAGGTGAGACTTTGAGACAGTTACCTGTACAAACCCATTCAGAAGGATTCACAGGTGAGTAGGAATTCTGGATTTAGGTCTAATTGATCCCAAACCAACATTTAAATCAGTGGACCATGCTAGCTTTACTCACAGTATTTGCAGGGGGGGGGGTATTGTGTGATTTGTGTTTTTATCTTGTATTTTTATGCAGTGAGCTGCCCTGAGATCTTCAAATAAAGGGTGGCATACAAATTTAATAAATAATAAATAAATGCTATTTTTATATGGACTTTGATTTTCTTATTTGTTCAATCACCTGAAACATAAGGGGCAACTAAGTAGAAAGGAGAAACCCTTCAAATACCCCTCAGACTAATTCCTCAAGCTCCCCATCCATGCATCATTTAGATGTTTCAGATTACAAGTCTCACCAGCCCTGGCTAACATGCTATATAGTCCAAAACATCTAAAGCCTGGGAAGACTACTTTAAACAATCTAAAACTGTAGTCAACGTGAAGATATTAATGCCAGACTTTTTATTATTCTAAAATGTTCCAGGAACAGCATCCAAATTTACATAGCCATTTATTTCTATGGTAGCTGGAATTCATGCTAATTGTACATTAATTCCTGGGATGAATAATTGAGATATCAGACGCAACACCTCAAAAACAAAACAAAAAAACCACCCCTTAAATCTTGTTTAGTACTCAAAGTAACAAGTTCTAAGCCATGAGTTAATCAAGAAAACTATACATAGGTCTTCATTAGCATACCAGGAATCAATCCACAAATGATAAAATCACAGAACATGCAGACTTAATGGTGCATAATTCAATCATGCTTAACTTGTTCTGAACACATCAGTATCTTCAGGTTTCATAGAAATGGTAATTTTGTAGATGGGGTATAACAATCATCTGCCTCAGGGAAAACATTCCATATACTTATGTTTTGAGAAGGTTTGTTTTAATTTTCCTGATATTTATAGGGTATGAGTGGATGTGTACATTCATTCCATAGGAGCCAACTTCCAGGGGCTGTGGGGGCTTCAGCCCCCCCAATAAAATATTTGAGGGGGCCGGACTCCCACAACGTTGATGGGCATTTCCATTCAAATGGTATGTGTGCCCTCTGTCATGTGATCAGTTATGGGGGGTGGGGCTTCCCTGGGCTCCCACAATATTTTATTCAAGTTGGCACCCCTGATTCCGCCTAAGGCCTTCCATAGTTCTGTTACAAAGAGAAGTTAACAACTACTAATTGGAACATATTATTATTATGACTCATGTTAAGTAAGACAGAACCAGGGAGTCAATCTGAATTAGAATAGGACATGTAAACTCAGTCTGAACCTTTATGTCCCCTCCCTCTCAAAAATTGGAACAGAAACTGATCTGAAGTTCTAGGCTGAACTGAAATAAGAATTGAACTTAAAATGAATAATTCAGGATACCCCTTCATAATAAGAATATAATTGGGGGGAAACTGACACAGTAATTCAGTGACTAGGTCCAATAATAATGAATCGAGCCAATGGCTGGGAATTTTGCCCAGACTTCTGCACTTCCCCCTTTGATGACTGTAGGAAATTCCAGGTATTTAATTCCTCAAAGGATAGTTGTGCAGGCTACTTCTTGTTCTTTGTTCAACTCCTGTGCTCTCCCTCTGGGCTGCATGTAGCCTGAATCCCTTTTACCACACCTTCCAAAGGCAGAGAATAAGCAAACTATTGGTTTCAGTGGTGGCTGTTCCTTGCAACTACCAGTCTCCTGGAGGCACTGGAGCAGTTTCTGGACAGAATGAATGCCTGTTGCTGGTCTGCAGTAGGACTGCATAAAGGTAAAGGTAAAGCGACCCCTGACCATTAGGTCCAGTCGTGACCGACTGTGGGGTTGTGGCGCTCATCTCGCTTTATTGGCCTAGGGAGCCGGCGTACAGCTTCCGGGTCATGTGGCCAGCATGACTAAGCCGCTTCTGGCAAACCAGAGCAGCGCACGGAAACGCTGTTTACCTTCCTGCCAGAGCGGTACCTATTATCTACTTGCACTTTGATGTGCTTTCGAACTGCTAGGTTGGGCAGGAGCAGGGACTGAACAACGGGAGCTCACCCCATCGCGGGGATTCGAACCGCCGACCTTCTGATCAGCAAGTCCTAGGCTCTGTGGTTTAACCCACAGCGCCACCCGCGTCCCTTGGAGGACTGCATATCTGCCACCAAAAAGTTGAGTTGTCATTAGTCAAGCATGGCTATATCCTGCAGCTGTCTGCCTGACAGATGGCCATGACACCCTCCCCATCAGACATTTAGCCATTAAACTGAACTTGATAAAGGCATCTTCCTTGCTTATCTACCACTAGTTTTGTACCTGGCATAAAGCCTTGTGCCAAGCTGCAAATGTTGTCAGGCCGTTGGCACGTGGGCAGCGTCCCTTGCCAGTCAGAAATAGTGCCTATTTTCCCTCTCTAAATGCTAGGCCCGTTTGGTCTCTGTTTTGTGTCAGGTTGCTTTATATAATTCAATCCTTTTTTACGGTTGCGCCGTTGCTGATATCAACATTATCCACAGCTAAGGATGAATCAAGGCTCTGAGTATGGGCAGTCAAAAAGAGCAGGATGCCTTCTGAGGCCTGGAGGCACAGAACCGAAGATCGCACAAAATGTGGATTTCAAAATAAATTGCAGTGGCAATGCGACATGAAGCGTAGCTGAGGAAATAGTTGAATGGCTGCTTAATGTAGTTATGAAATCCAATATTTGGATTGTGCAGGATTGGAGAGCAAGGGCAAGCTATCCCGAAAGCAGCCCAGAAAAGGCGATAAAAGCCCAAGCGAAAAGCTTAAATCTCCTAGAAAAGGGTGGGTGGGCATTGCCACGGCAAGACCAGTCACAAAACGTTTAAGAAACGCTGTTTGGGAGAGCGCTGCAAACGAAACCCATCCGGCCTCCCGCTATCAGCAGACAAACTGAGCAGGAAGGAGGAGCGAGCGAGCAAAGCCCCGCCCCCCCGGAGCCCCTCCTGGCGTCATGGCGCGTCGCGTGAGCTGCGCCCGCCAGCTTCAAAGATGGCGGCGGTAGCTTCGGCGCCGGTCGCGAACGCGTCCCGCTGCCCAGAGCTGGCTCGGGCAGCGGAGCGAAGATTATCTGAACAGTAAGCATGAAAATGGGTGGGCAGCCTTTTTCTTTCTGGCCGAGGGCGATGCTGGAGCCAGCACCTGGCGGCCGCCCGCTGTTGCTCAGAGGTCTGCCCTGGTAGCTTGCATGGGGGTTTTGGAAGCCAGGGGCGAGGGCTTCGAGGCCACTAGTTGTCTTATCTCTGGCCGCATCAGAAGACTTGAGAAAAGGCCAACGGATGGCAGAGTCCCCTTCTCCCCTCCCTCCTTGCTTTTGCAAATAATGCAGTGTTTTCCCCTTGGCGGAATAAATCCCTTTTGCGAAGGAGCTCTTTTTAATTCCACAGCGGACAAGATCTTGGCGAAGGAATAAGTTATTTGTGATGGTTAACACGTGTCTCCAAAACTACCTTGTGATTAGGTTTTCAATAAGGCCTACACTTGAGTCCTCATGATTTAAAAATTGCGTGTAGTTTTTCCCTATTGGAGGTCATTCCTGCGTTTACTTTAAATGATGTGGCAATGCTTTATTATTATTATTATTATTATTATTATTATTATTATTGAGCTGCAAGTGTGTGAGAGAGGGAGAGAGGTTAGGCTAGTAATAAAACAGGTTTCCGGGAAAGCAATAGAGTAGGAGTGGTGAGAAGCAGGTCGGGATCTACACGCAGCGTTTAGGGGTGGTGATTTATAGTAGATCACCAAAGGTTACCTACTTGACATTTGGCAACAGCAGGAAGGTTTTCATTAGGCTGCTGTACTGAAGAAAACATAAGGTAGCCAGGAGTGGACTTTGTGTTAAAAGGACTGTTAAGCTTTATTCAATTCTGATACTGTAAATGAACCCCTAGTTTCCAGATGTGCTCAAAAGACACTGTTCTTATTTCTAATGGTGTGCCATTTACACTTTACTGGTTGAATTTCTAGTAAACAACAACAACCAACAAACCCAAACTACTGTAGATCCAAGAAGCCTGAAAAACCTGCCTCACCCTGCAGTAGCATGAGTGAGATGGTTGTGCAAAGCCTTGAATTTGATGAGGTTTGGAATGAATGCAGGGAGTGAGAGAATACCAATGTAGAGAAGTGGAAAAGGCAGTGACAAAGTGGTGGGAGGAAGATAATTTCAGCAGTTATTTTGTACGGTGTGGAGAACAAAGACATGGTAAATGGTCTAAGAAGAAGAGGTTGAAGTTGTGCAAATGACACATGTTAGGGACAGTTCTACAGGACCTGAACATACAGGAATGTTTTGAATTGTTAAAATTGAGAAGAAACGAATGTCTCGGGGTGGGGGGAACAGATATAGTGAGGATTTAGTATCCTTTAATTTAGATTGAGGGGGGAATTTATAAGGGGAAACAGGGGATGTTCAGGCTCTTCTTATTTGATCCTCGCAACAACCCCTTCAAGTTTGTCCGTCTGAGAGACAGTGACTGTCCCAAAGTCAGCCACTGAGTTTTATAACTGAATTGGGGTTTTGAACTCGAGTATCACAGGTTCCAGCCTGACACCTTAACCACTATACCATACCTTATTACAAGTAATCAAATAACATCCACTGGGTTGAATCTGAACTCTTGGGCGGTGTCCAACTCACTTTCTCTATAGCATGTTTCGGAGGGGAAAACAAGGTGTAAATGAGAAACATTTGTGGCAGTCATTTTGGAGGCTTTGACAATTCCTAGTAAAAGTGGCCTTCCAGCAGAGTGGGTTGCTGGCAAGTGTACTGTTTTGCATGATGCACGTTACGTAAAATAAGTAAAGCATCTAGTTTGAAGCAGAAGATGATGGAGTAGACTGTTGGCACTGGTGAAATCTCTGCTCAGCTTCTGAACGGAGTGCAAGCATCCCAGTTGCTGGATATCATGGGTGGGAGAGGGCTCTTGCACTCATGTCTGGATTGTGAAGTTTGCACCGGGGTTTTGCTTGGCTACTGTGAAAACAGAAAATACCCTGAACTACATAGGTGTTGGGTGCAGTAGGCTCATCTTATGTTCTTGAGCATGAACAGATAAATCTGTAGAACAGTGGAGTTTTTCTCGTAATTCTGGAGCTGTCAAAACAAAAAAAATTCTCTCTGAGAAGATAGATTAAATATCTTTTAAAAATTTATAGCGTAGAAATGAATTAAGCTATCGCTACCTTCTTGGCTTTGTTTTCCAGCAAAATAAATAGTTTGCCTTTGAAATGCAGGCAACATTTAGGTTTGTGTTGTGCATGTTCGAGTAAATGTCTGTTACACAAATACTGCATCTATTTTAAGAGCTATTTCATCATCCCTGTTGCAGATTCAACAGGTTATAGGCACTTCTCTTTGCCGCTGAAGATAAACAGCTAAGAGCAGAGACAAGAAGATTAATTTGGGGGTAATCTTGGCTCATAAGTCTGTACATAAGTATATTTGTCAAGGTTAATACAATTCTGGGATTACTAAGGCACTTTGAACACATAACTTTTTGTTCTTTTTATTAAAATGCAGCTTGATTCCCTCCTTATGTTAATGTAGTAATTATGTATTTGAAACTAATATTATGTATAAATTATATTTTTTAAGTGCTTCAATTATATTAACATTGCTTTAAGTTAATATTTCTGGGCAATGGCAAAGCAATTTTTATTCATTTATCTTTTATACTTTTATTTTGGGGTACAAAATTTTAATTAAATAAATTTATTGTATATTGAATTTATAAAATGTTTTTAAATTTTTTCTAGGTTTTGATTTACTAAGTGTTACTCCATTGGGTGTTTGAAATGTGTGACAACTTGATATATTTGTTCAGTATGGACTCCATTCTGTGCATCTCATATTTAGATACTTTGCCTGCTTTCAGATGCAAATTCTTCTTCTCCTCCTCCTGCTTCTTCTAATAACCCAGACTTCACCCTAAGGTCCCATGGTGGACTACAATATGAAAACACAATATTGAAAACAGCTTTTAAAAACTGACAATTACAAAATTAAGGTGAATCCTAAAAATATGCACCTTATGTGTCAAAACATGGTGTGTGACATTGGGGATGCACTGCAAGATCTGGTTAGCACAGAAGATGCTTTCAAAATTAAAGTTACCCTTGAAAGGAACTCTTGCAGAACATGTTAACTAATGCCATCAGTAGGGTGTATTTGGTCAGCTCCATTCTTCTTACCTCAAAAGATGCTGATTTCTAATATAAGACATTTACATTAGCAAAGAGATTCATGCGGAACAATAGACTTGCTTGCTTTAATTCAATAATGTGTGGAGAATAGTTATTTCTAGAGTCAGACATAAATAAAAAGAGGATGGGTTTCCTGTACCTTTTAATAGTTACATAGAAGGGGGATTTCAGCATATGTAGCTTGCCGTGAAGCCTGTTAGCATTTACTGCAACAATTATAGCACCTCTCTAATTTGGGGGATTTTATTCATTCTTTTGGCAGATTTGATCAATGTAGCCTACTGTCCTTTGGACCACAATGATCTGCTACTCCATATGGTGAATGAGGTGTGAGATTGCAGGGCAGCATATCTATATAACCAGTCCATGTTCGGTGATGCTGCCTTTTCATGCAAAAATGATGTTATTTTGAATACAGCGTCCAAGGTTATGATTCTGAAATTAATTGGATGCCTTTTCACTATTACTACTGCAAAAAATGAAGTGAAAACTAAGATTTGTCTGCAAGCTTTGTTTTTAAGGCAATATGAGACATTTTGTTAGACAATAATATTTTTATGAAACTTTTACTAACTTGTTTTTCTCAAATGTTGCAGTGGCAACTTAAGGCTGGCCAACTCAAACTAGTAAAAGCAATTTTGTTTCTTGGATAGTTTTCGTATTAACTGTTCTTTGTTTTTGTTTTGATTTAGGTGCCTGTTGGTTTTTCCAAACGTCCCACAAAGAAGCAATGCATGTCTCTTGAGGATCCCTGACCTTTAGCAACTTGATAATAGCTATCTGGATATCACCAGCATTTCCCATGTTAACAGTTCTGAGCATGTTTTACTACATTTGCCTTCGACGCCGAGCCAGGACAGCTACAAGGGGCGAACCTATGAACAATCGGAGAGCTATTGAATCAAACAGAGCCTTACCTATCAATGTCGAAGTGGTCCAATATGCCAAAGAAGTGTTGGATTTCAGTTCCCATTATGGTAGTGAAAACAGCATGTCATACACCATGTGGAATTTGGCTGGAACTCCTAATGTGTACCCTAGCTCTGGTGACTTCACGCAGACTGCTGTATTTCGAACTTATGGAACATGGTGGGAAGTCTGTCCTAGCGCACGGTCACCTTTCACAAGGACACCACCCAATTTCCATAGTCACGACTATGTAGAGCTTGCTTTTGATGAACCAGTTTATCCCACAGCAATACATGTCCTGGAAACCTATCACCCTGGTGCTGTTGTTAGGATTTTGGCATGTTCTGCAAGTCCTTATTCCCAAACGCTGCCTGCTGAAGTAAGGTAATTCATCTTATTAATTTACTTTTCATTTCCTTGATATGAGATGTGACACACACACACACACACACACACACACACACACACAGTGGTACCTCGGCTTACAGATGCTTCAGATGCTTCAGGTTACAGACGCTTCAGGTTACAGACTCCACTAACCCAGAAATAGTACCTCGGGTTAAGAACTTTGCTTCAGGATGAGAACAGAAATCATGCTCCAGTGGTGTGGCAGCAGCGGGAGGCACCATTAGCTAAAGTGGTGCTTCAGGTTAAGAACAGTTTCAGGTTAAGAACGGACCTCCAGAACGAATTAAGTTCTTAACCCAAGGTACCACTGTATATGCAAATTTATTAATGAAAGAGTGGGGGGAACACAACACAAAGAGAGTGGGGGAAGAAAACAAAGCAGTCAGCTCATATTCACAATACAATAAACATCAATACATCAATCTTAATTTACACATACAGTTCAACATATGCCCTCCAAATGTCCGAATAGGTATCCAGACAAAGTTGATGTTTAGTCACAATGCTTTGAAGGGTTTTTTTTTTTAAGCAATATGTGTGTAGACGTGTTTCATACCGGGTTCGATGATGCTGAGACCCACCAACAAGGTGTGGGGTTGGAGGCACAGAGGACACAAACCCTTGCTTGGCTGGTCTTCAACAGGTCCTGAAGATTATAAGAAGAACTCTGTAGGAAGATCCACCTACTCCCTTTTCTTTATTTCCCAGTGACTAACCAGTTGCCTCCATAAAGCCCACCATCAGGACTTTAAGGCAATAAACTTTTCCAGCAAATGATATTCAGTGTGCCATACCATATCTGAACATGGAGCTTCCATATAGCCATTATCCCAAATAGCTTTTGGGGCCAGGGTAGAATTAGGCAATGGCACCCTGTAATCTTCTGTCTTTATAGGATGGTGTTGTGCTGTAAAAACTTCTCTGCTGCTATAGGTGACAAGGAGCTGAACAGTAGCTCTTAAGAATGACAATATTGCATCACATGTTATTATTCATCATTATTTATTAAATTTGAACACCATCCTTCATCCATAGATCTCAAGGCAGAAGAACTTTGGATTTCAACGTAATTTTCTCAACCTAATGGTGGGCATTTGTGTGTTACCATAGTGGACTACCAATGGCTTCTTCATTATAAAGCCAGTCCTTGGACAAAATAGCTCTTGAAAGGGCTTCAGAATTCCATCTTTTTGAGCTATTTCGACAACAACATCAAAATATCTTTAAAGTTTTATTTCCAAAATATTGGATTGCATAAACTGGGCATGTGTTAGTTGGCATCCCAAGGAGACCATTTTTTCCGCATCAAGGCTCAGAAAAATCTTCTGCCATAAAATGTGTGCTGTCTGTACAGCCATTGTCTGGAAAAATACTCACATAAACACATATGTTGGCTATCACTTCATCTGCAATTACCTGCATTTTCTTTAATAGCCCCTTTAATTGTTCACTTACTGAAATGCATGTTCACTGTGCATTCTCAGTTTTCCCTCCTAAACCTGTGTAAATCGTGCTATATTAAGAAGAAATCAACATCGGAGTCAGTGAATAATGTTAGTATATTATCTAATCTTTTTATTTTGTGAGATATTTATTAAGTTTTATGAGATAGAAGAGTTAAGTATTTTATATCAGCCCCCTTTTAGTGTTCTTCATGCTGTATTTTTTATCAACTTGAACTTAATTTCATTACCAATACTAAAAAAATTATTTTTGTCTAATAATGGTGTTACATGTATACTTTTATTTTTGTAGATGGGAAATCCTTTGGTCAGAGCCACCCACCAAGGTAAATTCACCTCAGGCACGTCGGTTTGCACCTAGTATCAAACGGATAAACTTTCCTACAAACCTAATTCGTCTAGAAGTGAATAGTTCTCTTCTGGATTACTACACCGAGTTGGATGCAGTAGTACTACATGGTTTGAGAGAGAGGCCTGTGCTTTCTCTTAATACTTCATTGATTGATATGAATGATCTGGATGATGATGATGAAGAAGAAGATGGAGAGCAAGACAGCTGCAGCATGGACATCCTTAATAAGCAGTTTAGTGCGGCTGCCTTCAAGGAATGGACAACTAATGGATACTTTGATAAATTGCCTTATGAGGTAAAGGAGTGGGAATTCTTACTTTAAAGCAGAATTGCCATAACCAATTAGGATACAAGGGTTCAAGATAGCTTCATATCCATGATTAGGAACGGCTTCACTCATAGTCCTTTTAAATCTGCCCATAATTTTTAAAAACAAAATTCCCATTTTCTTGATATGTTTTAAATAAACCACGAGTTCTTCTCAAAGTGGTATTAAACAAATCCAAATAATATTTCGTAAAAATACCAAAATCCAACAAAAAGCTAGCTGAAATTCTGTTGTTAATGGAACTCCACCCCCCCCCCATGAAAATAGCTTTCTTCTTTTGTTCTGTTACGGAAAATAACCTTTGCAAGCATAGTTTATCATTGCTGGTTATACTATGCAAAATAATTTTTGAAATTATTCAAATACAATGTTTGTTGTATAGTATTGATTATGGAGGAAACTGATTGATACTAATTGATTCATACTAAACCAAATCAAGGGGATATATATTTTCCCCTCTTGTAAAAAAAAAAGGGGTCACTCTAAATCAGGGGTCACCGAGGTTTACCTTGCCTGGGCCGGTTCACTCCAGAAGAGATCCCTCCATGGGCCGGATTGCGTGCAATCACAATTTTCGGCACCTGCACATGTGCAGATGTGATTTCTGTTTTAGCGCAGCGCACGGGGGCTCGCCGAGCGAGCGACTCAGTTCGGGGGCAGCTCGGGGGCCAGTTAAACGACCCCCTTGGGCCGCTTGTGGCCCACGGACCTTAGGTTGCTGACCCCTGCTCTAAATCCCTGCCATTTGTTAAGGCTATAGTACCAGTTTCAATTTGGGAACTATTACTCCTCTTTAATTTCTTCCTTTTTTAATACAAGTCTTAGAAATATTTCAAAATTCCCTCCACAGTTCTTTTCTTTTATGTAAACTGACTTTTAAAAGAAAAGCCATCAGAAGCAGACAACAGCTACCTTTTCCCCCCATTAATGCATAATAACCACAGTGGTTTGAAAGAGACTCTGCATGTTATAGGATTAGTTTTTAAAAGCGGATATTCAACAGCATTCTGGGAGTCGTTCTGAACACATCATGTCTCCTCACTTATTCATTATAGTATCAAATTGTGCTTTATGCTAGGGCGCGCACGCGCAAACTCTCTCTCTCTCTCTCACACACAGCAAATTTCTGACAAGACACCAGACTCTAAAGTAGTAATGATTAATGGCTATTAGCCTGTAGGCTTGGAAGCTGTTATCTTTGTTTAATCAAAAGCAAAAAAAGTACTTCAGTTACATCTTAATGTCATAATCTTACTGACATTTCATTATACCCTTTTCATTTCAGGTATCATGAAGTGTAATTTTAGTCTAAAGTGGGATTAACTTTTCTGGTGTTGATACTGACATGTTAAAAGATTTTTTTATCTCTAATGCAGAGTTAGTGATGTGTAGATTATCAGATACATTAAAAATGAAATTAGTTAAAGGGGACATTATTGAGTTTTTCATATCCTTATTAACCATGTTATAGTAGAGAAATATGAGAAGCATAATTTTGTTCTCTTTAAAAGAACACTATTTTCCTTTTAAACCTTCCTTTACAATTTTCACTGCAATGGCAAGGAATGTCCTCAATTTAACAGTCTGAAAATTCACTTTGTACTTCTTTGACTAGCTGATGTGTGGGCTCACAAATAACAGCATACAAAGCATTTCAGCCTCATCCTATTTTTGTAACAAACAAAAAATACTAACAGTGCAATTTACATGAACCACAATAACACATAGTATGGAAGAAAACTTGCCTCTTGCACAGGACTGACTTGATTCCTACTCTATCACCAGCGCAGCTATTGGTATTGTGGTGTCATTGTAAAATAAGTCAGTCTGCAATTCTGAAAATCCTATATTTCTGTTTTGCTTACAATAAAACCAAAACCATCATGTATCTCTGACAGCATTTGGAGCAAACAGTTCAGTGTGGATTTTGGTTCTTTTATATTAATGTCAAACTTGATTTTTCTGTTCATATGAACTTGAGCTGTTATAGTTGACTCTTGTTTTGGCTATGTGACAACATATAAGTCATGTGGCTAAATTCTGAATAACTAGTCAAATATGTCTAATATTTATATCCCATGTATCTTAATTTATAGGGTCTCAAGAGATCTAACTTTTATTTTATTTTATTTATTTTATATTCCACCCTTCATCCAAAGATCTCAGGGCATTTGCATTTTTGGTGGACACAATCAAGCCCCATTAAGTTCAATGGAAGGGAGTTAATAATGTGCTTCACTCTCTGATAGAAATTAATGGAACTTAAAAAGAACATAATCATGCCAAATAATGAAATAGCTGGTTTTGTATGTTTGTGTTGGGCAAGCTGTGTGTGTGTGTGTGTGTGTGTGTGGTGTGTGTGGGTGTGTGTGAGAGAGAGAGAGAGAGAGAGACAGACTCAACTGATGTTGTTTTTTAATCTTGAAAGCAGAAATACCTTCTGTTATGTTAATGCATGGTTTTAAAAATCCTTAAAGAGAGAAAAGCAGGTGTTTTTTTTAAAATGAAGTTTAATTATGTAAAGTATTTTAAAAAGCAAGGTAGAGAGGAACAAAAGGAGCACTAAATAGAAAAATGACTAGGAACAGAAAATGTTTTTCCCCTTAAGTGTATTCACTTTTTAAAAATCAGTGAACTAATGGGATATATTATCAAATGCAGTGGAAATTGTAATTTTAAGGACAGTGGTGTGATGTTCTTTTCTGTGTTTTCAATTCAGCTTATCCAGTTGATTTTGAGTCACCTTGCAGTCCCAGATCTGTGTAGACTATCGCAGACATGTAAGCTACTTTATCAGCACTGCTGTGATCCTCTGCAGTACATTCACCTCAGTTTGCAACCTTATTGGGCAAGAATAAACGACACAGCTCTAGAATACCTACAGTCTCGCTGTATCCTTGTCCAGTGGCTGAATTTATCTTGGACTGGAAACAGAGGAACCATTTCTCTATCTGCTTTTAGCAGGTCAGTGCTCTGAATCATGATGTACTAAATATTTGAGAATCATCCCCATACCTCCGCTTCCCACCCCTTTCAGGTAGGACAGAAACGTTCTCTTGTTTCTTTTTCACATTGCCCTAATCCAGCAACAGTAATTCAAACTCAGGTATGGGTTTCTACACATGGATTTGCAGCGGCAGAAGGGAATGGAATTTGACACATAACTACATTTCTAACAACTGGCTTTTGTGTGTGTCAGAGGCAGTGTTGCTCTCTTCTTGGAGTGAAGGTTGAGGGTAAGTTCAGCCTAATTCTCTGCAGTCTTGCCATTTTATCCCAGTTGCGTTGTGGGTAAAAGCCTCAGCGCCTAGGGCTTGCCGATCGAAAGGTCGGCGGTTCGAATCCCCGCGGCGGGGTGAGCTCCCGTCGTTCGGTCCCAGCTCCTGCCAACCTAGAAGTTCGAAAGCACCCCCGGGTGCAAGTAGATAAATAGGGACCGCTTACTAGCGGTTAGGTAAACGGCGTTTCCATGCGCTGCGCTGGCTCGCCAGATGCAGCTTTGTCACGCTGGACACGTGACCCGGAAGTGTCTCCGGACAGCGCTGGCCCCCGGCCTGTTGAGTGAGATGGGCGCACAACCCTAGAGTCTGTCAAGACTGGCCCGTACAGGCAGGGGTACCTTTACCTTTACCTTATTTCCCTTCCACCTGTCAAACAGTTGGCCAATAAAGCCATATTTTACAATGGTAGAGATGTAAGTGGACCCATAACTAAAGCAGCGAGGCCTGTGACTTGCCACTGCTGTGTTTATGGATCCCTATATCATGGCAATAATGACCTATCTGAGAGAAATGAGGAATGTTTATTGGGTCAGAGAAGGTAGGCTTCACTGAAGAATTGGGAACATAATGTCATTTCTGAAAGGTTAGCAGTAACAGAGAAGCTAGCGAGAAGAGTTCCAGAATGTTGCAGTTCCACATATTAGTGCCAGGGTTTGGGTGGGTTTTGATCTTGCTCAGCCTTTCGATTTTGTGATATGCAAACTAGGCAGGACAGCAGAACTGGAGTTCCCAACCTTTAACCCAGTCAAGCGAAATACTGGCTTTCATATTAGTTTTGATTTATAGACTTTATTACTCGCTTTATTTACAGATATTCCACATCATTTATACAACGTCCTCATGGTCAGTTCAATAATAGTAGTAACCTTGCGCCCGTGGAGATTCTCTACTAGATTGGAAGTCAGGTTAAGGAATTATAATGACCTGAGATGCTTATAGACAGAGCAGAAAAATATTATTTGATGCTTAGTGGAGAATGGAAATTCTGGAACTCATGAAAGACTGGGCTACAATTGTTTGTATGGTACTGATTTAAAAGTGTGGCTTGCTATTTTTAACCAATTTTTTTAATATTAGCAAATTTTATGTCAGACATTATATATTTTTTAAAAAGTAATTGTCCATCGAGAATTTATTGGGCTGGATGTAGACCTACCTTTTGCAAATGAAAGACACGTGGAAGGACTCAGTGGGAGAAAGGAGCAGAAGCAATTCCCTCCCTTTCCCCTGCAGTTCCCCACATCACCTCCCAGATGGTTTCTGAAGGTCCCTCAGCCTGCTGGTCCAGGTTTTCAAGGGCTATATTATAATAATAATATTATAATAATTTATTATTTATACCCCGCCCATCTGGCTGGGCTTCCCCAGCCACTCTGGGCGGCTTCAAAAAATATATTAAAATACTGTAATACATCAAATATTAAAAGCTTCCCTAAACAGAGCTGCCTTCAGATGTCTTCTAAAAGTCTGGTAGTTGTTGTTCTCTTTGACATCTGGTGGGAGGGTGTTCCACAGGGAGGGTGCCACTACCGAGAAGGCCCTCTGCCTGGTTCCCTGTAACTTGGCCTCTCGCAGTGAGGGAACCGCCAGAAGGCCCTCGGAGCTGGACCTCAGTGTCCGGGCAGAACGATGGGGGAGGAGACGCTCCTTCAGATATACTGGACCGAGGCCGTTTAGGGCTTTAAAGGTCAGCACCAACACTTTGAATTGTGCTCGGAAACGTACTGGGAGCCAATGTAGGTCTTTCATGACTGGTGTTATATGGTCTCGGCGGCTGCTCCCAATCACCAGTCTGGCTGCCGCGTTCTGGATTAGTTGTAGTTTCCGGCTCACCTTCAAAGGTAGCCCCACGTAGAGCGCATTGTAGTAGTCCAAGCAGGAGATAACCAGAGCATGCACCACTCTGGCGAGGCAGTCCGCAGACAGATAGGGTCTCAGCCTGCGTACCAGATGGAGCTGGTAAACAGCTGCCCTGGACACAGATTTGACCTGTGCCTCCATGGACAGCTGTGAGTCCAAAATGACTCCCAGGCTGCGCACCTGGTCCTTCAGGGTCCTATATGGGCAGAGCTCCTCTTGTGGTTAGCCTAGATCCAGCCCATTGCTTGAACACTGTTAGGCTGCAATCCTCAGCCCATCCTATTACAGTATATTGATGCTTGTGGACCCATGAGTAAGTTGTCTAGGATTTTAGTTTTTAGGTAGAAAAAAACCAAGAGGTAGCTTTGCCTAGTATCTCTATCCTTTAGGGGCCAAACTTTAGATTATGTTTATAGTTAAAGTTATAGGTAGCTAGGTATTTGTTTCTATTTCTGAAAAGGTTGAGTATCGGTAGAATATGTATTAACTCCAAGGAAATAGAACAAATTAGAATAGTGATCTAAGAAATCTGACAAGCAAAGGATATATTACCATGAGAGGACAGAATGCTTCAGGCATGTGAACATCCTGAGGCAAAGCTGAAGGTAATTTAACTTATTGATAATGTCCATCTCCTTAGGGCTATATAAGAATGTCATCATGTTTTACTTTTGAGAATTACTAAGTTTGCTAAACTTCTGTGCTTGAGCTAAAAAGGGAGTTTGGGAAATACTGATTGGGACAATAAATCAAATTTAGTAATATATATTTGAATAATTTTATATTGCTCTGTCAGTGAAAGAATGGCATGTGAATTGAGAAAATGGTGCGCATAATCATATTACATATGGATAATTCTGATTTGGCATCAGAAGAGCAGTAGAGTTTTTAACACTGCTAGCTAATGTCAATTGTAGCAGGATAAAGTTTGTGCTGCTGCAAAATATTTGAGTGTTTTGGGAGCAAGAAATTATATTTTAAAGAAATTATACTTTAAAAGTTGAGATTTCAATCGCTTTATTGCATGTAACATTGTAAATCGTGAAGACAATGAAACAAATTTATTTACATTTATTCTGTGTTGGGGTTTTTTTGGGGGAGTGGAAATTAAAGGAATGCTTATGTAAGAATTTGTCTAGGATGTTCACATTACTTGAATAAAGTTGGCTTGGTGTCTTATGGTCTTAAATTTCACAGTACAATAATGTTACAAAAATTAGCCCCTACAGTATGCTTCTTATGTATGTAAAATGTGTATGAAATAATGTGATGCCAAAATTCTAAGGCTTGATGTGTTTCAAAATTTCAATTGCATGGTATAATTGATACTAATAATATTTAATGAAACAAAATCTATGGTAGCACTTCTAGAGGATTCTTCTTCTGATCAATGGAAAACTATACTTTAAAAGTTGAGATTTCAATCGCTTTATTGCATGTAACATTGTAAATCGTGAAGACAATGAAACAAATTTATTTACATTTATTCTGTGTTGGGGTTTTTTTGGGGGAGTGGAAATTAAAGGAATGCTTATGTAAGAATTTGTCTAGGATGTTCACATTACTTGAATAAAGTTGGCTTGGTGTCTTATGGTCTTAAATTTCACAGTACAATAATGTTACAAAAATTAGCCTCTACAGTATGCTTCTTATGTATGTAAAATGTGTATGAAATAATGTGATGCCAAAATTCTAAGGCTTGATGTGTTTCAAAATTTCAATTGCATGGTATAATTGATACTAATAATATTTAATGAAACAAAATCTATGGTAGCACTTCTAGAGGATTCTTCTTCTGATCAATGGAAAACTGCATTAGAATAAGTTCAGTAATAAATACAGATCCTAAGAAAGTTTGCTTTTACTCTATTGGACTTTGTGAATGTGATCTGGTCTGCAAATAAGCTTAGATGTGCACGAGCCTTGTGCCTGTACTCACTTGTCCTGACACTGTCCCTTCCTTACTGTCTTCTTGGTGTGTCACAATTAATCTAGAGATAGTAGTTTCTGCCATCACCATTCTCTTGTTTCCCGGGTTGTGTACACACCATATTTTAAGGCACATTTTCCTCCAAAACACCCTGGGAACTGTATCCTAACTCTCACAGAACTACAATTCCCAAAACACATTTTAAAAAAACTACAGTTCCCAGGATTCTTGAGGGGGATGCTTTAAATGTGCAGTGTGCTTGCAGTTTGGGTCTCTCTGACACTACTGTCCCTTGCAGCGGCAAGCATATCAGTGCATTTAGGCTTAGGGCACATGCTATGCTGTGAGGATATATGGGAAACCTTTGGAACACAAATACTGCTTCACAAGTTACAAAATGCTTTCAGAGGAGACATTTCGGTGTAGAAATTAACTTAAAATCCAAGCATGAACCCAGTGATCTGTAATGTGTGATGATACATGTCTGTGTGGTTATTTGCATATACAGTCAAACCTCGGCTGTCGAACGTAATCCATTCAGGAAGACCATTTGACAACTGAGGTGCGGCTTCTGATTGGTTGCAAGAGTTTCTTGTACTCACGTGGAAGCCACGTCGGACGTTCGGGTTCCGAAAGACGTTCGAAAACCGGAGCATTTACTTCCGGGTTTTCAGCGTTTGGGAGCCAAAACGTTCGAAAACGGAGCCATTCGAGAACCGAGGCTTGACTGTACGTACATCAGAAGCTACAATTGAATTCCCACAGTATGCACACATTGCAGCATTTCTGAGTACCAATTTTGTAATTTATAAAATGGGCTCTAGCTTTCTGGTTTAGGTGTATCATGATGCTTCCATGGTAGAATTTTCCTTCTTGCAGCTGTGAGGAAACTTCTCTTGGCTGGTTAAACTGCTTTCTCTTGATCCCTGGTGTTGATTATGCTCCCCCCTCAGTTCTGTATTTAAGCTGTTGCTTTACTAATAAGGCTTCTTATTAGGCATGCGTAGCATTGTTCTCGAGCTTCTAAGACATGGCAAGAGAAATAACTGGGCTTTATCCAGGTGCCCCCCCCCAATTTAAACTACTGTAAGAAAAGGCGCTTCTTTTTGAATTAACCCACATGACAATGTGCTTTTTACAGATTCTTGAAGGTTTGTGGTTCAGAACTAGTGCGCCTGGAGTTGTCTTGTGGTCATTTCCTCAATGAGGCTTGCTTGGAGGTCATTGCTGAGACGTGTCTGAATCTTCAAGAATTAAATCTCTCCTCCTGTGATAAGCTACCACCTCAGGCTTTCAATCACATTGCCAAGTTGTGCAACCTTACACGTCTAATTCTCTACCGAACGAAAGTAGAGGTAAAGTTTTTCTTCTTCTTTTATCAGTGATGATAAAACTTAAGCCTCAGAAACAGAATAGAGTGTAACTTCTGTGAAGTACTCATGTTTGAAAAAGTCAGGAAAAATATATATCTTAGGGCAGTATCCAGCAATCCAGTATCACACATAGGATTTCCCCTCCTCCCTCCCAGATCTGTCCCAAGGATCCCTCAATGCTCCAGAGCAGATTCTGAGGGAACACAAAAGGAAATTTGTTCTATCAACAGTGTCAGTTCTGTTGGTTGACAGCCATCACTGGATTTCGTACTTAAGACTGTAGCTAATAAATACAGCTTGCATCTGCTAGTATAGATATATTCCTAGTTTACTGCATTTCTCTGCTCCCTAATCCCTCAGGATTTTTAATGTGTCTGGTGGGAATTCAATACCATCCATTCTATCATGTGTAACTTAACTTGCTCTCTCCTGGAATGCTGATTGCTACTATGATGTCCTGAGAGTCATCTAAGCGAAAGTCGGGGGGGGGGGATGCCGTAAGTTTCCTCCATCCTGAGTCAGTGACTGCCAAAGCATCAGTAACAATAATTTTGTTCAAAGTTTCAACTTCAGCAATAGCACATCTTTCTGTTACTAACCAAAGGTTAGTAAATTTAAGGTTAGTAAAATAATTTTTTCCTGATCTGTTTTGGGAGTTACTTACACACAGATGTAATGACAGCTTGCGTTCTGCAAGCGTAAATACCTTCCTTGCTGCCAATGGAAAATACACCTGTTGTAATCTATGGGTTGTTAAAGTATGTGCAGGCAGAAGATCCACATGGACGCATGTTTCAATTTCAGGCTCAAATTATTGGCTGCAATTGCAGCCAGTTTTATTGCAACTTCACCCCATGTTTATTCAATGCACATGGCTAGTTATCTCTGTGTTGGGCCAATAGTGGAACAATTTTACCATTTGAAAATGCCTTTTAGAAGAGACCTAGCCTTCTGCTTAAACAATCCAGCTGTAGTTTCCCTTCATGAAATGCAACCAAATGTGTACAAAACCAAGATGTAATAAATTATAAATAATTACAACTTAAATATTCTTACTTTTTGAAATAACTTATTACAAGTTATAATTTTGCTTCATTCATCTAAGTAATCTTTAAGTTATACTAAATTAAGACTGCAGTTATACTCAAAAGAGTTTTGTGCTGGTGGTCTTAGTATTTGCTGACTCTTTAATCCTTTATTCATTGAATATGCATTCACAGCATACTTCCAGAATTTGTTGGCATTGATGCATTTGAGGTGCACAATGGACAATAAAAGTACTTTGTTCATAGTAACTTGACAATACACATCATTATTTTGGCTTGTATATGTATGTTATCTTGATTTGATTCTTATCTTGATTTTCTGTTTCCACTTCTGTGTTGGAGCCAAGATGATATCTTGATGAAGCTATCAAATCTATGATTCTAGTGCTTTTACATTCAAAAGCATCAGGATGTCATGTTTTTAAAAATAAAGTATCAATTCATATGTTGTGTAACTAACTACCCGACCATTTCAAACTTTTTTATGCTGTTGTTGCATTTGAATGTACATAATAGGAATTATAATTTAGAACTTGTTGCAAACCTATGTTTGTATAATTATATATTTTGTACAACATGGTAACATCTTAGAACTGGCATTGAACAGTGTTTAATGGGGAATAGATTTGCAATCTATTTGCAATCTAGTATCTTAAGGAATCTGGAATCTGGGTACATACTCATCTTCTCCCTGCCACCTTTAAAGTCCTTCTTGCTACACCCAAAAAAGGTGGTACAGTGGTACCTCAGGTTAAGTACTTAATTCGTTCCGGAGGTCCGTACTTAACCTGAAACTGTTCTTAATCTGAAGCACCACTTTAGCTAATGGGGCCTCCTGCTGCCCCGCCACCGGAGCACGATTTCTGTTCTCATCCTGAAGCAAAGTTCTTAACCTGAAGCACTATTTCTGGGTTAGTGGAGTCTGTAACCTGAAGCGTATGTAACCCGAGGTACCACTGTATATCCCCTGTAGTATAAAAGTTGCCTGAAGCAACAAAATACTTCTTTCAGTTTTCCGAACATACATGTAATTCCCCCCCCCTCAAAGCACAGTACATTTTGTCCTAATTTGCACCAAAAAACTCACTTCTCAATATGTCTTAAAGTGGCCCTGTTTAAATAGAATCATACAACTTGTTTATTTTCATTTCAATTGCATGTCCAGGCATTGTGCTCCCCAGTCCCCAACCCGCAGACAAATAAAGGACCACGTAGACTGGTTTGGATCGAAACAGGCCACAACTGTATTTAACGCAGATGAAAGAGGTTTGGCACGTAGGTCACTCCAGGCAGGGGCTTCCTAAGAATTATATCAAATAGGGTGACGCCTGCGGGGACCGCCATCTGGGGGGAATTCCCTTGGCCCTGGCCACGCCAGGGCACGTGGACATGGCCACTCTCCCTGGATCACTTTAACAGGATATGTTTGGAGGGGCAGGCAGAGACTACGACCTCCCCTCCATCCAAGACAAAGGATTGCCCCAATGCCCAACGCAGTTGTGACAGTTGCTATGAGGTAGGCAAAACAAAGAATGGAAATATATTTGAAGCCTAACCAAGATTAAAATAAAAACTGTAAAACACACGCAAGCAATAAACAAACATCCTGAAGTGCAAAAAGCTATATTTATGATAATCCCAATATATCTCCAGTAGATCGGGGGCAGGGCAGGGGGGCGGCGTGAGTGTTTTCAAACAATACGTACAATATAAGTAAAAATGTGAAAGTCGCAACATATCACTCCATTTGAAAATTCAATAAAATAATTACAGGAGCCAGGTTTGAGGAGGAACATGGGATTATTATTTTTTTATGTTGGCTAAGGGGGCGTGTGTTACAAAAGCTTGATAAATACTTCAGTAGAATAAGGCATGTCCAACTATATTTGATTAGTCTGGCTTTCATTTTCTTTCACCATTAAATAAATGGAGTTGTGCAGCATTGTGAAAGCTGCACTTTGCCCTTTCCATTCTTTTCTCCATCTCCCCTTATGTTGTAAAAATATTCCTTTGAAGACTAAACCTATTGAGTCATCATGTCTGTATATTAAAGTAAGCCTGATTAGGACTCATTTGTGCCATTAATAATTGATAATATTCAATTGTCCATAAAGACTACAGTACTAAAGAGGTTATCAAACATATGTTTGAGTACTGAAAATCAGTATTTGCTTACAGAAATAGTAAAAGTTATGTAGCAATTTACTAACATTAAACATATCAACCACTGTGGTGGTTACATTTTAATAGTAACTAACTTTTGCACAATATTGCCAATTGTTACATTAATCTCACAATGCAGGCAGATAATTAGTGATTAGATAAGACTTACTCACTATTCATCAATGCTTAACTGTGATATGTATTTATGCATTTTCCCCCCTTCAGTAAAAATCCTGAAAAAGTCTTTTTCAAGCCTCAAAGAAATACACCAAACTTATTATGTTACATTAAAATATAACATTTTTAATGTTTTTACTCTAGTAGAAGTAAATCATTCAGAATTTTTATTTAATTATGTTGGTCCCCAGTTTATTTTCCCGTGAAGCCTATTTCTAAACTAAATATCACACTTCAGACTAAGATACGAAATACAGAAAACTACGTCTCAGGACAACTTGGACTACTAATTTAGAATATGTGTTTGTGATTATTTCGTGTGAGATGTGTATTATATGCCTAAAGTGGTAATGCTTACTGCAACCTCAAAAAAAATGGCCATTTCGCAAGGTGCATCTGATATTCTGGTGGAGTCCCTCTTGCTGTGTTTTTATGATGTGGCACCTCACCATAAGCATGTTTAAAATAGCAGCAACATGACTGTAAAGTGCACGTTGTATTTGTTTCCATCTGTATGTTGCTAGTGACAGGAGCTCGATGATTGTCAGTACCCTTGTCAGCAAGAGCATCCTGTGACATTAAAGTCACCAGCTCGGTCCTGATGCTGTGTGACTCTATTGGCAGTTCCATCAGGCTGCAGCCGATCAGTGAATGTCAGAGATGCTGTACTTTTCTGGGATGTCACCAGCCCTCTGTCTTTTTGGTGTGGCCTTGCTTGTTGTTTGAATTTGCCAGACTTCTAAGAGCTTTCCTAAGGGAAAGGAACTGATAGGTCATGGGAATAAAGGTGTCTTCAGGGCATGCAAAACCACATCCAGAGTGACTTATTATATAAAGGCTTGTAATGATTACCTTGACTCTAAGCCAATCAATGGCTAGAGCATCTGGGGACTCATTAAATGGCATTTGTGGTGTCTGTTACCTAGGTTTTGAGCTGAATTTCAGGGAAAGTGGTGACAGCCTTTAATGTCTAATTGACCCTTTCTCTTTGTGTTTGCTTTCTATATTTGCTTCTGATGTGTTCCCCAATGGCAGCAAACAGCACTGCTCAGCATTCTGAACTTCTGTTCAGATCTTCAGCACCTCAGCCTGGGTAGCTGTGTAATGGTAAGTTTTTAAAGTCCAGGCTCAGTGTGTGTTATCAGAATTTAGACTTCCCAGCTCACTTGCAGAAAAATCTAACCGCCTGTTTTCATCCTTTCATCTAATACCTATGCACTTCTTATAAAAAGATAAAATAAATGTTTGCTTGAATTTACATCTGTCCATCTGCCAAGCTTCTATTTCATCACTTGGGCTACTTTGTAGGAATTGCAGAAATCCTCCTGTGTATAGTCATAGGTGGGTAGAATTAATTTATGTATTTAGTTCAAGTCATGGAAATCCCTGTTGCGGTGTTTCCCATACGATGATGTCGCTTGTCACGTGCATGTGTATATTCAAATATATAGCTTCCAGATTTTTAAACGTTCATTTCCTTCTACTTATGCACCTTTAGGATTATGAGCTAGACTGCATATGTTTTTGAGTTGTATATCCCCCCCCAAGCTCAAATTATAATTATTCATCAGATTCCACTGCAGAAGCCGAAATCTGCCATGGAAAACCATTTTGTGTGTGGAGTGGAGTGGACATTATATAGTTTACATCCCAACCCTATTTCGCCCTCTGCTTTCCAGTGTCACACACAGCCAGATTGCAGCAGCCATGACTGCGTTTTGCAAGTACTCCCCACCCCCCAAAAAAAGTATAGGAAATAACTATACAGTGTTATCAGTGATTGGTCCATGATCTGCAGCTTCCTTGCTCCTATGTATCACAATTCTTCTGCAGAACAGACATTGTATTATTACTACTATTCATTGATTTATATACCACTTCCATGCCAAAATGGCTTCTAAGCAGTTTGCAAGTATAAAATCAATTATAAAGTGTCTACACTTAATTCAAATACACAATAAAACAATTCTGTCAAAACATTAAAAATGCAATATATATATATATATATATATATATATATATATATCCCATTAAAATATTATATATATAAAACAAACCCATTAAAAAGCATAGCACTTAAAGCAAAGCAGTTTAAAAATAGGAGCATGCTTAATTTTGTGGCAGAGTAATAAAACAGATAGTTTCATTTGAGTAATAATCCTCTATAGTTGAAGAATATTCATGGTGCCACTCACGACTGACTCATAGCCTAAGTGACATTATCAAGATGGTTGCCACCCATATACTCTGCCATGAAACAGGTTTTTAAACATTGTGTTCCCTGAGTATATGGAATTGCTTCAGTACATAATTTACCACATGGTGTACCTCTTGGCAAACTGGCCATCCCTATTTAGGAGACCTGAAGTGTGTGATGTTGCACAGAATAATTTTTGCAGGCTGCATATGGGTATTAAAGACCATTTGCTTATAAGCACGCTTGAAATTTGTGGTACTTGTGTCTAACCTGCAGCTAACAGGTTCATAATTTTAAATGCAAGATTGAGGGTATAAATACCAGTATCCTCCAAATGAGTGTTATTTCTTCACAGATTGAAGACTATGACACAATAGCTAGCATGATGGGAGCCAAGTGCAAAAAACTTCGTACGCTGGATTTATGGCGATGTAAAAACATTACTGAAAATGGAATAGCAGAGCTAGCTTCCGGCTGTCCACTGTTGGAGGAGCTGGATCTTGGCTGGTGCCCAACCCTTCAGAGCAGCACCGGCTGCTTTGCGCACCTTGCGCGTAAACTCCCAAACTTGCAAAAGCTCTTTCTGACAGCCAACAGGTCTGTGTGTGACTCTGACATAGATGAACTTGCTGCAAATTGTACTAATCTCCGGCAGCTTGATATTTTGGGTGAGTAGCCATAAAAACACTTGGATCTTCTTTAAATCGATCGGTTGTATCAACAGCAGAAGATAAACTGTATGTGTTGTATAAAAGAAGATGTGGTCTTGAAAGTAAATACTGGGTTCATGATTCACATATAAAAAGTTTCCGTGAGAATGCTCTCACGGGTTCAAAGCGTAATGGATTATGGGGTTAGACCAGTTTAATTCCAGATTCTTTGATTTACTGGATTGTGAAGCAGGCAGCAAATTTGTTTAATCGTTTATCCTTTGCTGCTAAAGGGACTAGTTTTCTGATGATTTCCTGAAAATGTTTTAACTGCAATTGCCGGTTTTCAAAAGCTCTTGGAATTTGAATAGCGTGTGACAGGATATATTTATAAAGTGTGAACCTTATGATCAAACAGTTTCTTGCAGAGCACATAATAGAGTGCTCTGTTGGGCTTCTTTCTTCAAAAAGAAACCAAATTTTTATTTTTTGAAAAAGAAATCAGCATAATTTTTCATTTCCTATTGCAATTGGTATAAGAGACTGTCTCCGCACCCACCCCCCAGCCCCAAAACTTTAAAACTTAAACTACAGCTTAAAACTATAGAAAGCTTTTGCTAGTCAAAATGAAAGCTTTTTCATGAAGGTTAAAAAGGAGTTGTTTTTACAGGTTACACATCATGTTAACTATCTTAGCCAAAAGTACAATAATAATGGAAAGCTTTGTGTTCTGATACACAGTCTTGAAATATCCATACTAAATAGTTCATATGAATGTTCCTGTGTTTGTGGCATGTAAAGAGGAAGCCAAAAGAAGCTAATTCATTGACACATAAAATCAAAGCACTAGTTCTGGGTATTCCAGGCCTAGAAAAAATGCTGCTCCAGTGTAATGTGGTAAGAAGGGCGTTGTTCATTTACACAAGTGTCATGCTGTGTGACTGCATAGACAGCAGGATTCTTCCATCTTTGCTGTTGTTACAGAAGCCCATCTATACAGATGGATTGATCTCAAACTTTCATACAGCAAAAGAAAACAATACACCAAACCCCTTGTATAAAGTTAAAATATGCACTTCCACCAATTTTTCCATGGCAGTGGTTAATAAAGCCTCCCCAGTTCTTTGTGTTTCCTCAGAAATAAGTCACATTGTGTTCAAGTGTGTGTTTAGGATCGAAGCCTGAGGCATTTTTCTATTTAATCATGCTGTTTAGTATTCCAATAGAATATGGATTTGAAATTTTGTTTCCAAAGAAAGGACTCTTTTGCACATTTCAGGAGATCAGTCAAGACCTTACTTTTTAGAACGGATGTGGTTTGTTGGATTAGTGATGCTTTGGGTGTTTTCTAAGCTGTGTGGTAAATCTTAGGTAAAGGTAAAGGGACCCCTGACCATTAGGTCCAGTCGTGACCGACTCTGGGGTTGCGGCGGCATTCATCTCACTTGACAGGCCGAGGAAGCCGGCATACAGCTGGTCATGTGACCAGCATGACTAAGCCGCTTCTGGCGAACCAGAGCAGCACACGGAAACGAGCAGGGACCAAGCAACGGGAGCTCACCCCATCGCGGGGATTTGAACCGCCGACCTTCTGATCAGCAAGCCCTAGGCTCTGTGGTTTAACCCACAGTGCCACCTGTGTCCCATGGTAAATCTTATGCTTTAACATATTGTTTTTATTCATCTTAAAATGTTTGTTGCAAGCTGCTTCTACTACTACTGAGGTGCTTGGGAGGCAGGCATGGGATATAAGTATTTTTTAAATTTTGAATTCCAAACTCTTCAAGGCTGAAGATGTCTTACAACAATAACTGAATCCATAAAAATGTAGATAGACTTGCCTTCACTACTTTTGACTGCTTCAATGCACTCCCATCTCCCACACCTGTATGTACTTCCTTCTTGAGCTCAGTCTCTGTCTAAATCTCTGCAATCTCTTCCATAGGGAGAACTTTAATCCCTTCTTTTGGAAAGTTAGTTTTGCCCCCTTTCCCATCTAGCTCTCTTGTTGGCACTAATAACAAAAAATTAAGAACAGAGAAAGATGTCACAGCAAAATGTTTAGTTTCTCTACTGTACAAATTTTGCTTCAGGAATCAGCGCAGTTACTGAATTTGAGAGGCACAACTAAAAGGACTTACGTATTTGCAAGTCTGCAACTTGGTCAACCTGTTGGATGATGTTGTTTTTCTTCAATCCACGAAGAAATGCCAGGTTTAGTGGACTGATTAAAGTATGAAAATGGGTAATATGTGAAAGTGGAATACATAGTTTTGTTCCTTGCCTGCGGGGCACCATATGCAGTGCCATTGTGTGATCACATAAACTGCAGCATATGTGTGGGTTATGCTTAAATAAGGGCAAAGAACATGCTCCAGAAAAACAAACTCCCTTTTGATATTTTGACTGCAGCCAGGCAGCATAAAGTACAGCTTAGAAGAATGTGGTGGGTTTAAGCCATCTGTATGCACAATACATCAGTTGCTATCCAAACTCGTTGAATTAAAATCTGTAATTCTAGGTAAGTTCACACAAATTTAAAAGCTCTATTTTCAAATATGTAAAACCACCCGGGCATGAAAGGAGGAATAACAATGCGTTTCCCCCTTGTACAAGAATATTTCACTACCTCATACATGCTGTAAACCCCCCCCCCAAAAAAAAACCTCCCACATCTTCCTAGAATGCCAAAAGCTCCAACTGTCCCCTTCATGGCTGTCAAAATCATCAGCTTTCCTTGACAGTTTCAAAATGCAGTTACTCAGTTTCTGTACAGAAATAAGCAGCACATTAAAAACATAGTCCCCTCTCCAGAAAGGCATCTTGCGCCTGAATTTCTAAGAGCTTCCCTTCCAAAGGTCTCCACAGAACTCCCAGGCCACTCTTTAACCCTTCCACCACCATTTCAATGCAGTATTCCCTGTCTTGGGAGCTGTCAGATTCCAAGAACATTTTAGAGAACAATCTGAGGATACCGTACTTGTTCTAACTTCTTTCCCCACCGGGTAGTAAACAACTCTAGTCCTACTCCTGTGTAAACCTATTGGAAGTTAATGGGCATGACTAAGGTTTATTCATTTCTGTGGGTCTACTCTGAATAGGACTTAGCCAAATACAACCCACTGTTCAGATTTTTGAATAGATATACACATGGTAAATAAAGCAAAGGAATGAAATTCTGCTTGTTGGCAACAAGGTGGTCTTAAGCACACCTTAGCATGCCTGTATCAAATAATTTGTACAAGGAAAAATTTGTCTGTTTTTATCTGTGATTATTTAAAACTAATTGTGGGTGGGTGGCCCAATGACAGCAACTATCAAAAATTCAGAACGAGCCCTGTGAAATGTTATATTAATACCTTTTGATGGTTAATGCCATGAAGCTTGGAAGAAAGTATATGATGTATGATTTCTTCTGACCTGTTTTCTAAGTGATGTCCCTCTCTAAATATTCACAAGAACACAGTGGGTGCATCTGGGGAGTTGTGGATGGAACACAGATTGACAAGGCATGCTTTTGTTTTAATTAAACCACATTTCTGCACACTGCAAAGATTGTGCAGAGCGTGTTTTGATTTCTGTAGTTAGTGCTTTGGGCTAGTCTCAACTGGGCCATTTTACTGATAGAAGACTTAGCGAGTACGGTACATAGAACTGGTTTTCCAGTATGTGTCAGAGAGGATAATAGGAAAGGAGGCAGTTAGTGTGAAACTAATGACTATTATGTGACTTTCTGCTAATTCCCCCCCACCTCACATTTTATTCTACCTTTCTCAAAGAAGATGAGTAGCCCTTTTATCATTACAGCAACCTTATAGAGACCATCCAGTGAGTTTCAGGGGTGAACAAAGTCTTCTGGGTTCACTATGCCACACTGCCCTTTAAGCCTGTGTTTGGATGTCAGAGAGGCTTCAGTTTATACTATTGATTTGGATAAGGGAAAGCCCCATTAAAATGAAATCTTTTTAATGACAATAAACATTGTACTTCCTCACCTTCCCAATAGCACATTGTACTCTGTTTATTTATGTAACTTTCAACTGGTTTCTTTTCCCTTTTGTCCCCTCCCTTTCTTTTCTAGGCACAAGAATGGTGAGCCCTGCTTCTTTAAGAAAATTGCTGGAGTCTTGCAAAGATCTTTCCTTACTTGACGTGTCCTTCTGTTCACAAATTGATAATAGAGTTGTCCTAGAACTGAATGCCAATTTTCCTAATGTGCTCATCAAGAAGAGTTTCACTCAGTGACTCACTTCATATGCTGCTATATGGAATTGATTTGACAATTCCGTTTCCTGTGAATTTGTGCTGACTTTTTTCAAAGAAAAATATTCTGTGAATAATGGGGAAAAGTTAACTCTTCTTGACATGAAGGTTAAACGTCAAATCAAAGATTTAAAATGTGATAAGCCATTATTCCGTGTACAGTTTCCAGTTACTGTACTTCACAAGTGGACCTCCATATTTGAACTAGAAAGAATCATGTGAATATAAGGTGGCATATGTTTAAATGCATATTATGGAGCATTCAAGACTGCTTGGATTTTAACAGTGAAATAAGCTTGTAGCAAAAACTAAGCAAGAAATAAAAGAGAGACCTCAATTTTTAAGTTTTAGCATTAGTCTTTTAAGTTGTCTCTCATTGCTTCTACCTTCATTCTTGCTACAAGAAAGTTCTATGGTCCCCAGGGACTGTAGGATTGCACCCTAATAAACTAAACTTTTAGTTACACATAAAAATCTCTGACCTTCTTAGTTAATCAAAGAGCTGACAGACACTAAAGATCCTGCATTACATGATACAAGTTCTATGGGTGTCTCTTGCTTTTAGGAATCCTAGCAACTTAAGCCTCGGGCTATTGCCAGCCTTCCTCATTGATGGTTTCTCTCTCCACTTACACTACTAGGTTGAGCCTAAGGATGGGGGAGCCAGTGATGGTGCAGAAGAAAAGACTTTGAAAGACAAAGTAGATACAAAGCAAGCCAGGATAAGTTGACCCATCACTAATTGTCAATCCTACATTTACATATCTGATTTTCAGATGTACAATTAAACTATTTCTGTAGCTATATAAGAATCCCTTTCAATTAGACAAAGACTTCCAAGTTTAAAAACACAAGTATTAATCTGATAGATTATGATTGAAACAATGATAATAAAAGATTACAATTTAAGAGGAGACAAAGGAGAAACCCCGTGCACAGATTCAACCTCGTTTTTTTCAGTTTCTGCATGTTTTATCCATCCAGCAAGCACATCTCTTTTGGATTTATTGCAAAGGGGGGGGGGCACTTCATGTTATAGAGTCCCATGTGATTGGAAGCAAAGGTTCCTTCCTTGGTAGGATTATTCTATTGGAGTAAGCCAACTTTTGGAAGCGAATATGAATATGATTTATTAGTGTAGCTGAAGCCATTACAAAAAAACAAAATTTGTAAAACATACTACACAGTTAAAACAATGATTTAAACCAGAACTGAAATCAGTAAGCGTGAGATGGTATAAAATAGCTGTATCTCTTTTATTTCAATGAGTCTTTAGCATGTGTAAGTTTCTCTGGATTGCATGCTTATTCTGCTGATGTTGCTTCTTATAGAAATAAGGCAACAGGATTTCTATTCCAAGAAGTCTTCCGCAGCAGTGAATAGTACCCAAAAACCTACTGAAATTTAAACTGAAAAAGGAGGGACTCTTGGAGAAGGACATGATTTCAACCAGAAATAAATCTCAGCTGTCAGTTCAGTCATACATTAAGGCTCATATTTTTACTCAACTATTTTTACTAAAAATGGGCAGGTGGAACCACTTGGTTCATTTCTACCACTTTTCCTTAAACTTTTCTACAAGCCTGCAGAAAATGCTAAGTAGGGTGTGTTGGTCTGCACTCCTACACAGAGATCACCATTTCTTTTAGGGAAATGGAGATAGCAGGATTGCTTAGCTGATGAAATCCTTGGTTGTGTCTCTTCCCCCAACCCCGTTGTGAGGTCAAGTATGTGTGTACACAATCATGTGTACCAGCCTATAGAGGAATGTTACTGATATCCAAGAGGTATATAGAGAGAACTACAGCATTCTTTGTGATCATGGTAGCTGGAGAATTTGTTGCCACAATCATGGAAATCGCCGCTGGCTGCTTTACGTGCTATGCAGCTCACATTAAAGTTCCTTCATGTGTTGGTTTACCAACATATATAGTCACACGTGGATACAATAAATACGCCATGCATGTGTGAACCAGGCTTTAAAACATTGTACTTTGCTGACCGATACCTATCCTAAAGTTGTTCTGTAAAGATATTTTTTATTTTGCATTTTAAAAATGTAACTTTATATATTATATCCAGTGTAATTAAGAATTATATATGTACATACCTGTGACAGAAGAGTGCTTCTTTGGACTCTGTATATTTGCAGATGTTAACCTTCTAAAATAAGCCTTGTTTCATGTAGTTCAGGATATGCATGTTTATGTTTTCTTTGCAGTTAGACAAACACAGTTTTGTTTAAATATTGTTATCACTATAGTGTTTAAAACGTGTGCCTTCTGTTTTTACAATCAGTAATATGTCTAAAGACATTGGATTATTTTCTTCATGAAAATTAGGCTAGGAACGCAAGACTTGTCCAAGAACAAATTAAACTCTTTATTCAGACTTCCGCAGCCTTGTCAGATAATATTCACTGGTACCGTTCAAATGATTCGTAGACTGGCATTGACTGGAATGTTCAGAGAAGACTAAGGGTACCACCAGACTGCCACCATTTTGCTCAAGGGAACTTTGTGAAGCTAAAGTGGATTAAAGGGCTCTGTTGCCCTAGTGCAATTTATCCACTGTAAAAAATAACAATAATCTGACATTTTGTAGCTTGAAAAGTGACAAGGAAATGCAATGAAAGTGTATGATGATGCTTGTCACATAACTGCTCCTCAAACAAGTCAGAATGAATTCACAGCAAAGACTAGATTCAGTCTAACCTCTGCATAAACTTTGTGCAAGCAAACTAGGATGAATAAACAGGTTGTCTGGAGGTGACTTGAGGTTCAAATTAGATCCTACATTGGCTTTCACATCTGTGCTCTTCTAAGTGTAGGTTTTTACAACTCAAATTGCTAGCGCAGAAATCCTGGCTACACCCATGGAAGCCATCCATCTAACATAACATTTATAAGCATAGCCTAGAGGAATTTTACAACACAGTTGAACTGTTGATTGATTGATTGATTGATTGATTGATTGATTATTAGGCAGCATCCCTTCTATCACTCTTAGGTTTTTTCAAAGACTAATTTGTCCACATTCTTCTAACTCAAAAAAGAAAGGAAAAGGTATTCTGCATCCATTGAGGATAATGTTTTGCTTCAGAGTGTTGGAGAGTAGATAGCGGTGGTGGAGAAGTGTTCGTGTATTTTCAGTTTGGTCCTATCCCATATATAAGATCTAGTGCTTTAGAGGGATTGTTTGAAATGAAAAACATTAGGTCTTAAAGTAAAATATGGTGTTTGTAAATAAGATTTTTTTCTGTAAATTTGAACACTAATGCTTACAGAAATACAAGATTGGTAATTTTTGAAAGAAGTGCAATCACACTAGTATGGAATAAGAACCGCAATAATTGAAGAAAAAATAAATTAGTTATCTTTTTAGTGGTCTAAAAACTAAAGGTTTAGACAGAGTGCTACCACTGCATATATTTTTCCTGGATCCTTCCCCAAATCCTCATGCTATATCCATTTCTCACAGAGCAATATGTTTTTAGATGAGAATGCCCATTACAGAGCTTCACCTATTTTCACCAAATGGAGAAAACCTTCATTATTTTTTTATTTTTTAAAAAGGTTTATGACATACAGTACAAGGTAGCAGGGAACAGCTTTATTAGTATACACCATTTATCATCCCAAAAAGTTAGATGAGTGCTTTGGGGCTTAACCACTTGGCCTTGAACCTCTTTCTAAAAAGCCGGATGGGGAACATTCTTCAGCTGGATGCCTTCAAAGAACTTTTCAGGAACCACATACTAGAGGTGGGCAGAGTCAGGAGTGAAAGTGTGTGGAACAATGGAAGTGACTCTTACCGTAGTTATATGTGGCGGAAATGTGGTCTACTGTAAGTCAGAAGTTTCTACACACACACATTTTTCATTTCTCCATCCATGCAAGCAAGAGGCATTATTTATGGTTCAGGGACACAGTTCACCTGGGCAAAAGCACTCCGTGAAGGACTGGAGAAGGGCTAGTGAGAGACATGGCTTGGAGAAGGGACGGGAGAAGTCTGAAGACTGCATTTGGCCCCTGGATCAGAAGTTCCTCAACCCTGTTTTGAGGAAGCCCAAATACCACAGACACAAGGGAAAGGCATTCCACGAGTAAGGGACAGGACGTAGGAGCAGCCACTGTCTCTTTCTTCCTTACGTGATTCTCTACTCCACATCACCAGAAATGGTAGACCTCAGACGATATGCCTCAGAAGGAGATTAGGAGGCTTCTTGACTGTGGCTGCACTCACATGACTGTTTATTCCATTTCCACAGCTTTTCTCTAGCTGTTAAGTTATGCATTGTATACAGTGGTACCTCGGGTTACATACGCTTCAGGTTACAGACTCCACTAACCCAGAAATAGGTTAAGAACTTTGCTTCAGGATGAGAACAGAAATTGTGCTCCGGCGGCAGTGGGAGGCCCCATTAGCTAAAGTGGTGCTTCAGGTTAAGAACAGTTTCAGGTTAAGAACGGACCTCCGGAACGAATTAAGTACTTAACCCAAGGTACCACTGTATGAGCTTTCACGTGTAATGTGAAAGCTACTTCTGGAACATTGGAAGTTTAGTGCTCATTTTTGTGTTCTTTGCTTCCAGAAAACAAAAAAGCAAATCTGTTTGCAAATAATAATTGAAATGAGTGCTAAACTTGTGCTGTATTTCACTACAGGCCCACTAAAGCTCACTATAGTTCCGGAAGTGACTTTATATCATGTGGAAGCTCAAACTAACAGCAGGGCTTGTGTGAATACATGGAAGCAAACAACAGAAAGCAATGGAGAGAACTTGAAGAGGCGTATATCCCAAGATGGATGGGAGATAGGAGAGAAAGAAAGATCAAATACAATGCGGAAATTAACAGGGAAATATCCTGAAAATGGAATTAACTGCCATGGGAATGCAGCTTGGGTGTCCCTCTGCCACCCACTTTTCCAGCCTCAGCTGCAAGGCAGGAGAAAGGCAGAGAAATTACTATTTATGGCTTACTGCGTGATCACAACTCACCACCAGCAGCTATTAATTGGCAGCTTTTCCTTCAAAATAAAAATGGCAATGTTGGAGCACACTTTGTTTTGAAGTGCGCTTAACAGAAACACTGGTACCATCTTGCTGCTCTCCTGTGAACTCATTCCAATGTGTCTTCAATCTTAAAGTGTGGGTTTCTGCATCACTTTCCCAGGACCTTTCGTCATTACTGAAGTTTGGGGGAGAGAGCAACAAAGGAGTTTTCAACAACAACAAAAGTTTGGATAGAATATTTGTTCTTCAGGTAAAGGTTGGGTTCTTTATGTTGTATGATTCTATTTGTGGCATTTTTTTGCATATTAGAAGCTGGAAAATGTTAAAACTATCATCAGAATCATTAGCGTTTCAAGGGCTTGTATTACATAAAAGACAAAAGAACAACAATAAAAAAAACATATTAAGTGCATGTTTAAGGGCTAAAAAGCAGAGTTGATATCAATGAGTGGAAAAGTGAAATTGAACTGAAATTTTGTTTCATGCAATTGATAGCCACAATTAAATTCAAAGTTAAGCACTCTTGAGCCGTTTAATTTGAGAGGCTTAAAATATGTTTACTTCTGAGTTGGGTTGTGGTCATTTCTATGGAAAGACTGAAGAAAATAAAATTTATTTTGGAATAGTTTTTAAGCAAGAATGTCTTTCGGTTTTCAATTTTTAAAGCAGTATTATTTTTCCTGCCTGCTGACCAGCTTGGGGAGGAATGATTAAAATCTATATTTTTATTTGATTGTTGGTTTCATTTTTTTATTTTATTAAGATAAGTAACATGGGAAAGTGCCTGTAAATGCAGCACTGAGAATGTTGTTTTTTTTCATATTCCCTAGGAAATTATAGGTATCTCAGATAATATTGTAATTGTTTCAGTTTCATTACTAATTGTTTCACCAATTTGGTCTCTCTGCTGCTTGTATAAGATAGCTATTGAAATATTATTCTGACTGGCTGGTTTGGATTTTTTTTTATTTTGCTAAATTAATTCATCTTTCTCTTTTGACTGAATTTATTGTGAAGTACTTAGTGTGCAGATCAGAATAAATGGTGTGCCTCTGTTCACTAGCCCCTCTTACATGTTTTTAGAAACACTTAATAAAGCCAAATTGTGGTGCAGAATTGTGATTACAGAATGGTTTGAACTTAATTGCTATTACATAATGCCTTTTTATTAGTTGCTGGTTTGTGTTTTATACACACTCTCTCTCTCTCTCTCACACACACACACACGCTCCTTCAAAGAGAGTTTGTGAAGCAGAATATGGAAATAGTCAAGATAGCTTAAGGATTCCTTTGAAGTAAAAGCCAGTGGTGAAGTACTTGCAAAAGTTAGATATTAATGGCTGTTGTAGTTTGCACACAGTCTATAAAATCATTATTACTAATATATTCTAAAAAAATTAAGGGGGTAGATAATTTTATTTTGTTAAAGATGATGAGAAAATTCAAACAACTCCATTTTATTATTATTGTTAAGTCATACCCTAACAATGAGGGAGGCCTGGAAATGAGGTCTCTAGAGTGATGCTTGAGACAGCCCTCTCTCCCTATACAAAGAGCCTGTCCAAGACTCTTATATCCATTGGTAATACCTTTTCTACCCCTGGGTGATTTGCTGGGTATGAGAGAAGGAAATGAAATATTGAACTAAGGCTTTCTTTTTTAAAAATTAAAAAGTCAGATGCTTTGTCAGAAAATTAGGTATGTGTTGAATTGAAGCAGGGACCCCTGAAGTATTTCAGGACACCTTGGCAATTCAGGCATTTTATTTAATGCAAAATACAAGTGTATTCTGAAGGCAAAGAGAGTATCTCTAATCTGGCCATAACACTACTGGACAAGGGGGGGGGGGGTTGATGGGAGAAGGGCAAGCAAACACCAGAGAGGGAAGAGAGCACGTAGGAAGACCTCTTCTGTGACTCACAGGTCAATCCTGTAATCAAGGCCAGCCCTCCCATGAGGCAAAGTGAGAAGACCACCTCAGGCAGCAGGATCCACAGGGACGGCAGATCCAACTCCAATGAATGCATCACTTGCTGCTGCCGCCATCACTGCAGTGTCAGCAATGGCTGTGATGTGCTCATTGGAGGCTGGATCTGCCTCCTCCTTAGTAGCCTCACCCCCATACTGTCTCTACAGCGGTCTCTTGGCTGCTGATCTCCTCCCATCCTTGCTCCAAATGTAGTTTTGGGTTCCTGGTGTAGATCTTCACTCACCCCTTCTTCCCTGGTGGGTGGTTCGCCTCAGGTCTTGGACTGGCCCTGCCTGTAATCCAGGGTAGCTGGATATTCAGCCACCCCTTCAAGAGCCACATGGCAGTGGACCTGTGCATTCACACACAGAATAGTCATACAAACCATACACACATACACATAGATTCGC